TCTCTCTCTCTCTCTCTCTCTCTCTCTCTCTCTCTCTCTCTCTCTCTCTTTCTCTCTTTAAAAAAAATATATATTCCTTGATGTCCTGAGTATGTGGTTGCTGCACAAAGACCCTAAAAAGATGACATATTTCCAATGATGTTTAAAACTATAGCCAAGGTTATCTCTTATGAAATAGATGAATGTTATTTTGCTGGATGTTTTGTGACCCAAAGAAAGAATAAAAATTGATAATGATTTAGGTCTATTTATGTAGAGTATTAAATAGCAACAAAACCATTTCCTAAAATCTCACATGTGGAAATTTTTGGAGTTTTCATTTATATACTCTGATTAAGTACTACATAATCAAATAAATGTGTGGTTATGTTTACCCCTGCCAGTAGACAGTAAATGGCTTTACAGTGACTCAGGCCATAATGCAGGAAGGGGAGATGAAAAGAACATGGACTTAGGAGAAGAAGGACCAAGTCTGGGGTTGCATCCCAGTTCTTAGCAAATGACACAGTCTCACCAACCCTTGGCTCATCATCTATAAAATAAGGATAACAATCCATTTGTGAAATTGGGAGATCATGTATGCAAAGTGCCTGGCATATGGAATTCACTTAGGATAAATCTCTAAAATATTGAATATTTCATCATTTTTGCACATTTTCTGAAAGTCTTCCCTACATACACTCTCCCTCTAAAGGAATGGAAAAAAATTTTTTTTTCTTAAATAAAATGATTTCACAGATGCTAGCCATGAGATCCACAAAGGCAAGCGGCTTTGAGAAAATTCCCAAATCCTCTTGGCTTTAGCTACAAAACTAGTGCAACAAACTGGGCATGAGAAAGTCCTTTAGAAATATTGCAGCTTGTGATGGGCCAAGATTTATTCCATAAGTCATTTGGATAAACACTAAATTGCAATGATTATTTGCACAAAGGGGAGAGAGCCTGAGAGAGGCTGCCATGTTAGACTATCTGAGTTCCCTGTAAGGAGTTTAGAAAAGGGATTAGGAAATCCAAACCCTCAGAGAATACTCCTGGTAGCTGTTGGAGATGCCACACACTTGTCACACCTGATAACTCACTCCCCCAGGACGACTGGAATGAGGACCCTGCAGTGTTCTTTCTCACAGTGGAAAGGGAAACAATTGGCAGTTCCTAATTTATAGACAGATGACAGCCTGAGCCAGCAATGGCTTCCTGGGTATAGGTGTCATGTGCAAAAGGGAAGATGTTTTTCAGCACACTCAAAACCAAGGTGATATTTTGAATCAGATGAGATAGACTGAATTTTTGCTTTTCTTTTTTCACTCCATTGCCTTAGTTTTTAATGCTCCTTTTCTCCTATTTAGATTCCCTCAGTCTGCCCAAAATTCCTCCAATGATTTCCCACTTGAATCATGCATGCAATGTTCCCAACACGTAAAATTCACTCGAGATGAAAGTTCTAGAATAATGATCATTTTATAATTCTTACATATCATCTGTAAGCCTTCCTTAAAGTCTCCCATATCCACAAATTCCTTTATAATGCAAAATGAACTCTTTAAATCTTTTTTATCTGCCATCAAAATTCCCAAAAAGATATTAACTTTGCAACAATCATAGCAAACTAATTTATACTAGTGTGTTATGGACTGATGTTCCCACAATGATGAAATACTTGCATATTTTAAAAGGGGATAATTGTTGTCAAAATTAGAACAGAGTCGTAAAGTATCAAATCATTATAAGTTTATTTTTTTTAATTGGGGGGATAAGAAAATTCAGCTGCTGAAAAATGAGTCCTCGGGGTCTGCTTTTCTAAATAACTGCTTTTTTCTAGACTCCTTTCCTCCTAAAATTCTGCAACCCTAGATCTTTATAAGCTCTATTTGGTATAATATGTGTATCTGTTGTTATCAAGAAAGACTGTGGGAGCAAACACACACACAAAAAAAAGGTGATTAGCTGATGTGGGAGAGGGCACAACTACACATTAGCTTAGGGGTGAGCACTTTCTCCATCTGAATATTGATAAAAACCTAAGCAGTTACTATTGTATAAACATTGACCCATAATTGGGGACATGCCACTTAGTATTATTGCCATTTACAAAAAGGAAAAAAAATAAAAAGCTAGGTATATGTTCAACTTGAATTTTGTTAGGGCAGAGAGGGAAAAATGATAGGTTTTCAAACCATTATAAATATGTGGCAAGAAGCCTCCCATTTCCATGAAACTTGAAAAAGTCGCCAGGAGTCCTCACAGGGCTATATCTGTTAGACAATTGTCAAGAGCTGTCACTGCAACCATGATACAAAGGAGGAAGCTCCAACCTAAGAGAGAAATGTCACCCCCCATGGGGAAATAGTGCTGAGAAGGGAATTTAAATTCCAAGTCCCCACAGCATCCTTCCCTTAGCCTTCGTGGGCTACCTCCCCAAGATCCTAGCTCTTGGTCCAACCATTGCTGGTATCAGAGAGCAGAGATATGCATAAAAGCACATTGTAAATTATGAGCATTTGGATTTATTTTTGTTTGTTTGACTTTCCAACATGGGTCCTTAGATCAGTAGTTCTCTTTTTGAATCAGATAATAAGCAGAGCTTCTTCCTGTTCCCTGGGTGAGCCAGTTTTGAAATTTGCCTGATTCTTTCTACCAACAGTGCAGCTGAAATGAACTCAGAATTTTGAAGCCACTCACAGTGTGACAAATTTGGACAAATAACTTTTCTCACATTCAGTTCCCTATTTTTTAAATATCTATTTTTTAGTTTTAAGTGGACATAATACCTTGATTATTTTTTTCTTTTTATGTGGTGCTGAAGATTGAACCCAGTACCTCACACGGACTAGGTGAGCGCTCTACCTCTGAGCTACAACCCCAGCCTGGGTTCCCTAATTTTTGAATGGGAGAGATCACATTAATCTTATAACTTGTTGTGATTTGACAGTAATGTTATCTCTCAAGTGCATTATTGCAATAGCCTCAAATCTGGTTGTTTCTATTTGTGCCTACCTTCCATCTACTACCAACAGAACAGCTCTAATAAAGCTTCTGTCCTATAGTCTTCTGCTCAGTCCCCTGCTGCCATTCCCCTTCACCCCATTCAGAGGAGAAACCCAAGTTCTTTATTGGCTTATGCTGTCTGCCACCTCTCTGCCTTGAACTGCTACCACTCTCTCTTACCCTGAATTATTTTGCTGGAGCCACCCTGGAACCCTTTATGGGAGATTTTTTTTGTTTGTTTGGTTGGTTGGTTTGATTTGATTTGTTTCTCTAGCACCTTTGTCTTGAAAAATCATTTTGTGCTGAGGGAAGCAGCATTCAGTTTGCCAGTCTTCTTGGGATTTTTATTTGAGTGTCTTCATCCTAAGGATTAAAGCATGATGGAAACTTTAGCTCATGAATCAAAACAACTCTTCAGAGCTAAAAGCTAGCTACATTTGCATAACAATTTAGCAGAACCAAACAGCAGGGCAAGGTCAGGTGAAATAAATTGCCAAGGTCATGGTTCTCTTGAAGTGGTATTGGATTCAGAATTGCTGATCCTCAGTGCCTAATGCCCCATGGATATCTCTCCCACCCTCCTTTGTAAATGATGCTGTGATATAAAATTAATCCGGTGTAAGAGTGGAAACCATAGGCCTGCCCTTAACCCTTTCCTCTGCTGGAACTGCCTGATTATTCAGATCATGGAGAAGATGGATCATATGCCCATTGACCTCACTGTATTGACAAATAAATGAAAAAAATTAAAAAATTAAAAAAAATTACTGGAAACCATAACCTGGGAATTCTTGGCCTATACTAGGAACTACTGTTGACTGTGTTTAAAACTAAATGTATCTTTAATCACCTCAATTTCTTGAATAAATAATTGCCTTGAATTCATTTCGTTTTAATCCTGACAACCTAAAAACACAAGGCTCCTTAAAAAATACAGAGGTCCACATGCCAGAGAGCAAGAAGCTGGGGAGATTAAATGTGTAAATAATTCTTGGTTTAATACCCTTAACTAGAAAAACCTTTATAGCGGCTCATCAAAGGGAAGCTCCTTAAAATCACAGCCTCTTTGAATCTGTCTCAGTGAAGCACAGGACTTCAGATCTCCCAGGCGCAACTCTGAATTCAGAATCTTAGGCAACTTGGGGTCCTTGTCCCCTCTCGGCCTTAGGGTCTCAGGGAATTTCCAAACTACAGACTCCCAGGTTTTGAGGGAAGAAGACTTTTCCAGGGGCGCGGGATGTGCCACCCGGGAATCTCACCATCAGTGGGCGTTTAGCGCAGCCAAGCGACAGACTGGCGCCAGGGCTCAGCAACAGGGAGGCGCCGGCTGAGGCGGGGAGAACTTTGGCGCTCCGAGCAGAACCACCCTTTGCTGGCCAGTCGTGTCGCTCCTCCGAGGAAGCAAGCGGCGTTGGCGACTGGGAGGAAAGAAAACGGAAGAAAGGAAGAGAGGAAGTAGCTGGGCAAGGAGGAAAATGAAGCCAGCGCTAGGGGATCTGCGGGAGGGTGGCCGATAGTGGAGCAGGGCGGATTTGGCTGCTTCCCCGCATCCCGGGTGTGAACGCCCTCTCCAACGCGACCTTAGGAAATAAGTGAGTCTTGCCTGGGCGGAAAAGGAAAAGAAACCAAGTGAGAGCATTGCTCTTCTCTCACCTCTGCTCCCTCGGAACTCCGACTGCTTCTCAGCCCAGCCGTCTCGCCGGGCCGGACGCAGTGCCCTAGGCGCCCTGCAGATGGGGCGGTCAGGGAACCGGCGCCCAAGCCGCGGGTGACAGGCGCTGGCCCGCCCGCCTGCCCCGCTCGGCGGACGGACCCGGCGGGCAGAGGATGCAAGACAGAGGAACCCGGGAGTAGGATCTGAGACTGCTGAAATACGCGCTAGACTCCAACTTGGATGGCCCAGAGACCGCTCTAGCCCCTGGGACAGCTTCACCGCGTCCAGTGAAGCTGCGCTCGGGACCCGGAGGCGGAGACCTTAGGCGGCGGCTGCAGAGGGGCGAGCCGGGCGCAGGAGGGGGCGCGCTTTCTCCCTGCGGGTCTCAGTAATGAGGAGACTGAGTTTGTGGTGGCTGCTAAGCAGGGTCTGTCTGCTGCTGCCGCCGCCCTGCGCGCTGGTGCTGGCCGGGGTACCCGGCTCCTCCTCGCACCCGCAGCCCTGCCAGATCCTCAAGCGCATCGGGCACGCGGTGAGGGTGGGCGCCGTTCACTTGCAGCCCTGGACCACAGCCCCACGCCTAACTAGCCGCACTCTGGACGGCAACAGGGCAGGTGCCCAGAGGGATGAGCCAGAGCCAGGGACTTGGCGGCCGCCGGCGCCCTCGCAGGGCGCACGCTGGTTGGGGAGCACTTTGCATGGCCGGGGACCGCCGAGCGCCCGAAAGCCAGGGGAGGGCGCCGGGGCCGAGACCCTGTGGCCGCGGGACGCCCTCCTGTTCGCCGTGGACAACCTGAACCGCGTGGAAGGTCTGCTGCCCTACAACCTGTCTTTGGAAGTAGTGATGGCCATCGAGGCGGGCCTGGGCGATCTGCCGCTTTTGCCCTTCTCCTCCCCTAGCTCGCCATGGAGCAGTGACCCTTTCTCCTTTCTGCAGAGCGTGTGCCACACTGTGGTGGTGCAAGGGGTATCAGCGCTGCTGGCCTTTCCCCAGAGCCAGGGCGAGATGATGGAGCTCGACTTGGTCAGCTCCGTCCTGCACATTCCAGTGATCAGCATCGTCCGCCACGAGTTTCCACGGGAGAGTCAGGTGAGAGGAGTCTGGAGCTTGGAGTGGAGCTGTGCGCTGCTGGAGTCGGGACCAGAGTGAGGGGGAGGGGGAGGAAAGGGATGGGGGGAGTCTGGAGGGACTTGGGGCTTTATAACTTTGATATTGTTTAAGGATTAGACCATGCCCATAGATGGTAGATAGAAGGACGTCGGTAGAAGTTGAATGAAACATTTTAAGCGCACATGGAAATGAAAGGCGAGGCGCGGGTGGTGGATGGAAGGAAGTGGGGAGAATACGCGGGGGCGGGGGATAGTGTTTTGATTAGCTGGGAGAAATCCAGTGAATGCCCAACGGAAGTAAAAGTCAAGTTTCAGGACCGTGGAAAGCGACAGAGATTCTGAAGACTTGAGGGAAGAGTGGGGGTGGGGATCCCTGACTGCTACAATTTTAACCCTCCCAAGAGGAATTCTGAGAGCATGTGGCAGAAAAAACAGCATCTGCTCTTTATGACTTCTTCAGGAGGCGTGTCTGAGCCTTGGGCGATGGTGTAAGAAAGCACATCCCTCTGAATTGTTTTGAGTAAATAGAATATCTCCAAGTAGCACAGCAGCATAGGCAAATAAGAGTGGTTAATAGTCTTGGGTATTAGAAAGCTTTAGACATAGTATCTGATAGTGTAAAAATGCATGTAGAAAGTCACTTGGGGATTGCTTCTTTGTCCCACCTTACTTCTATGTGATGTGGACTCAGAGGCTAGTATGCAATTGCTGTGCTCAGCCCATTTCTGCTATCATTCTCCAAAAATAAAGGAACAAGGATCTAATTATTTAGTTTCCTATGGGTTAAAGTGCTAAGTATGTCTTCAGAGAAAAAAAAATATGAACCTAAGTGTTTACCAATAATATGAAGAAGTGGATATTAAAGAGAGGTTAGGGTCCATTTAGCTGAAGAAGTGTTCTACATTTTATATATTGCTCTTATGACAATGTCAAGATGTATTAGCCTTCACAAAATATTTATTAAGCAAATAGATAACTGACATTGGCCCTATTTTAAAGATTGAGAAACCAAGGAAAGTTCAGAGTCTGGATGAATATTGCTCAGTGTACTAGTAAGAGTCCAGGCCCTGGAAGATTTCTTATTCTACATCATTTTCAATTCTGTCCCTTTAGCTGAAAAAAAAATCATTTCTAATCTCTCTTCTTCCACTTTTGATATATATGCAGACATAAAAGCTAAAATGAGTAAGGGCAATATACAAGTGAAAAGTTTGATGGAATCTATGTATAAAATATCAAGGGAGTACTAAAGATTTCTTTTTCTAGAAAAATGAATCTTCCATTTTTAATCTTTGAAAAGGCAAGTACAAACTACTTTCAGCAATTGCCCAGAAGATTCCCATTTCATGATGAGCTAGAGATTTGATCTGCAGAGTGCAGGCTAATTAACTTTTATCTAAAATATTTCTGTCACCAGAATCTGAATGACTGTAGGCAGCAGAAGGGAAGACACAGAAAACACAGGTGCACAACACTGCCAATGGCCAAAGGGTTATAAACATGAAATTGCATCCATAGGGTGCAGCATTATTAATATACATACAGTATCAGATCTAATGAAATGCAGGAGTCAGCATTGCTTGCTTCTCATCATTACTTCTTTATTACCTAATTCTTCAGAAGTTGCCAATAGTGGTCACAGTCTCCAGACTCCCTTCCATTTGCAGATTGTTTGGCAAGAGTCTTAAAGAGCAAGAATTTTCTCCCAAAATGAGCGTCCCTTAGTTAGAAGGGAAATTGCCTGTGTTGCATGATCGATGTGTGCGGTATACAGCACATTACACCAAGGAGAGGAGGAAAACCATGAGACAGCATCCAGAATCAGTAAACTTCAGAGCTGTGAGATCACTGGTGGATATAAAGACCTTTAGGGACAACCCTTACAAGCTGGCTATAAAATAAATACTATGCCAAGCACATTTACTTCTGAATTGCATTTCAGAAATGCATTTTAAATCATGGTTGCCACTGTCACTTTCATGGTACACATTTTGAGAGGGAGGGATTATTGTATTAATGAGATCTAGTTTGTTCAACTGACAACATTTTCTTTCATCTCCCTTTGGATTTTAAATTCAAATGTATCTAACTTGTCTCACTTTTAGTATATCATGTCATTCTGTAATATTCTATATTAAAAATATCCTGCTTAATGTCAAGTCACTGTAATATGTCATTTTAGGATATGACCATACTCTGCTCTCAGCAAAATTAATAACTGATCTTTCCCTTGCTTCTCCTGAAAAGTGGACCTTTCTCTATTACACTGATTTTTTTTAACTTATAAATATTAAAGGATGTCAAAGTCATTTTTCACATTAAATAAAATTGACTTAATTTAGTCACTGTCCTTGAAGTCTACTGCCCAGTGACCTAATATGTTGATTGTACCAGTGCCTGAATAAACTATTCTAAAAGAAAGTGGAGTTAACCGTACAACCAACTAAAATAAGATTGTTTCCCTTATATTCAAGCAAATCAAAGTTGCTTTTAGAGTAGGAGTAGCAACAGCTGTTTTCTCTCCCTTCCTTTTTTTACTGCTTCCCTTCATTGGAAGGTTTTTAATTAACAAATAGTGACTTGGTAACATCCTGCCACAACTCTTGAACAAAAAGAGATACCAGTAAGGTGATCCAATTCCTGAGAAATCCTTACTGCTTATTTCAATATGCTGTTTGTTCAAAGCATAAATACATAGGGTCAATCATCAGCTTAGAAGGGACGTACTTTTTTTCAGGCAGGGGAAAAACCCATTAAATGTAAGTTAGTTAACCATCCACTTTTGGAAAACACATGCATATTGTCAGCACATAATAAAAGCTTAACAAAACATTCCACAAAGTAGGGGGTCAAAGTTCATTTCCATCCAAAAATTTCTGACTTACCTAGCACACTCAAATTCCCACTTGAGGCTAGCCCTTATTATTAAAATGATCACTTCTTAGTTATAAATTCTATTCCTGTGACCTTCAAGTAACTGATACTACATATGAGCCCAGTTTCATTTATATTTAAGTTATATTAAGTTCCAACAGTTATTTTTTCTTTCTCTTCCCTTCCCATACTAAGTTTTCTTCTAGGGGTTTTAAGTAGTTTCTTCCAAGTTAAATCCATAAAATTTACCTGCAGATACAGTGACAGATGCACACTTTTTTTTTCCAAAATATATATCTCATGTTAATTCCATATTGGTTTCATTAGGCAGAGTTAATGAAGTAATATAATTGGCATAGATTCAAACCCTGCACAATTCAAAAATGACTACATGAGTATTTTTAACTTTTATTGAATATATCAACCACACGTTTGCCTGTCTTATGAACCATACATGCTAATTAATATGTTTATTTCCATGCAAGTGTTATAGATAGTCCATTTTTCTTCGACAACACAAAGTTAAATACTGACACCCATTTATTAGAATTTGACTAGCACAGCATAACTTTTGCAAGGTACAGTAGACAGAAGAATGATACCACTACATAACTTAGGTGCTTCGTCAGGGTTCCAGTAAAAGACAGTTGTTTTTAAAACGTCTATTCTCAACTGTGTTGTTTTTTCTTGAGTTGCTCTACAAAAAGCTCGGCTCACTCTCCTCTGGGGAAAGTATTTTTCTACAATTCTTGATGGATGGCTGATTGTAGCACCTAATTGTTGCTCACTTGAAGATAAATCATTTCAAATTAAATGTCAAGTGATGAAAAAAACTTTTCTCAGTAGTGATCTTTTCTAGGTTCCTCTTAAAGAGCAGAGACCTGGGATTAATTTGGAATTTTTTTAATTTAGTGGTTTATTCATATTATTTCTTTATTTTTCCAGAAAAGTAGAGTGGAAGAAAGAAACTAGCAGACACCATTTACTGGGCAAGCAGTCTGTCTAACCCACATTTCTTTGTGTTTACCACAGGAGTATCATTTAACCCATAAATAATGTATATTTGTTCTTGCTCTTTCCTGATTATTGTATCATGGAGTTAATTTATGATTGAATCTGTTGAGCTATCTGAATGCCAATTTGAACGTCCAATCCTTAGTGTTTTATCTTCTGGTGATGCAAAGGACATAATGAATTTGGTACCATTAAGTTTTTATTTCATGAACACTCTTAAATTCCAATCGCATTGGTTAAAAGAGCACAATGTAATGGAAAGTATATGAAATAATGTCAAAAGATTTCCAATCTACTTCTGCCTCTTTCTTACTTGGCCATGTAAACTTGGACATGTGACTTTCTCTTGGAGAATCTATTCTTATCAGTCAAATGAATGTTCCTTATCAATCTGAGAGAAGTGTTTTATGAATCAAATTAGAAAATGAGAGTATTTTGGATCAATTGATAGTATTAGTCAAATAACTAGTGGAAAAATGATGAATATAATGAATATAATTTGATAAGAATCATTAAATCCTAATTCTTCACTAATTCTCTATTAGTTATCAAAATGAGATATAACATCTCCATCCTCCACCTTGCTCCTTACCTATCCCTTGTATTTTTTTTCTCTTAAAAAGAAATATAGTAAATATTTTTAGGGGGATAAAAAAAACTAGGTTCCTTAAATAGGTTGTACACTTGCCTAGAAAAAGGAGACAGGCCATAGTACTCTTTCTGTATCAGTGACAGTTCTTACCTGTTATATCCAATACAGCTTCCGGAAACTTGAGAACTATTATAGAAGCTATGGCAAGAAGCCCAGTGTTTTTGAGAAAGCTTGATCCTTCATATAGGTCACAAGTTTTTTCTACATGCAAATTTATCATTCATGAGACTACTAACATAAGAGTTTATCCCACCCACTTCCATCCCATTGACAATACCACTATACACACTACTTGGCTGACTCATCCAACATTTTTTTTTTCATGACTAGCCTTTCTTGAAGAAAAAAAGCAGTGTATTGACTTACATTGGCATAAGCTCTTTATTTCATCACAGACAGATAATAAGTACCTTTGCCCTGGGCAACTACATGGGGCTCTC